TCTGGATACGATCAGAACCTCCATTCCCCGCCACTCCCCTGCCTCCCGCCTTCCTCACACACGCAGGTGCCATCAGAAGTGGACAGCTGGAGATGCTCAGGCTGAATTAAACCCAGACTGACACCAAAGTTTTTGCCTAGAAGGGAACTTGCCTCAGAATCCCCAGTGGGTAAAGAAAATGTGGTATGTTTACCGTGGAGTACTACTCAGCCATAAAAAGGAATGAAAATAATGTTGTTTGCAACAACTTGGATGGAACTGGAGACCATTATACTAAGTGAAGCATCTCAGGAACGGAAAACTAAACACCATATGTTCTCACCAGTTAGTGGCAGCTGAATGATGGGTACACTGGACACAAAGAGATGCAAAGGTCATTGGAAATCAAGAAGGGGTGGGTGGGAGGGGAGGGGAGGGATAAAATTTACCTATCAGATAGTGAACACCTGCTAACAGGCACACCAAAAGCCCTGAATTAAGCATGATACAATGGCAAAGTTGAATAGTTGAGACAAGATAGCAAAGCCTAAAATATTTACTTTTGGGTGCTTTACAGAAAAAATTTGCCAACTCTTGCTTCAGAGGAGGGCTCCCTAGTGCCTTTAAAAAAATTCCAAAGAACAGAACTCTCCATTATAGGCGTGGGAATGAAGCCAACCACCTCTCTGTTCCAAGTACCATAGTTGGTAATTTCCTTTGAAAAGCAGGCCTTTGCTCTGAAGGGTAGAGTAGTCAAATTAGGGGCTATCTAAGAAGGAGGCTCACCCAACCTTATTTGAATGAGTGGGTGATCTGGCAAGGGGGAAAACTTCATGGCATTTACTGGTAGTATAGTTCTACTTTCTGGAATATCATAACAATGCTCCCTGGGAAGGCGAGGAAGCAGCTAGCAGTTTTAGGTGTCTGCCAGATAAAGGAGACAGTGACTCTCTGACACTCCTGACGAAGATGACTCCAGTTTGTCCAGGGTATGTGAGAAACACAGGAAAGGTCACCAAAGGGTCTGGGCCCGGATCCCAGCCAGCAGAGTGGGAATTTCAGATTATGATACGGGATATTTGGAAGGTGAGGCGGTGCAAAGGGACAGGCTGACTCACGCGGTCTGCTGACTGACCAAGTGTTTGCTCTCCTGTTTTATAGTCTTTGTTCAGCTGTGGGCCAGCCCTGCCACTGATAGTCATTTTAGCCAGAAGGAAAGCAAACGCCTACAGACAACAGCTGTGTTATAAGTCAAAATTTATGTTTTTCTTATAATTATATTAATAGAAGTATTTGTCCCCTCCTTCCGATTATCTAAACTTGAATTTAATAAAATATATGCAGCCATGCATTGCTTAATTCCTGTAACATGTATTTATTGAGCACAGACTCTCTGCCAAACACACGCTTAGGTAGAGCAGTAAACTAGCAACATCCCTGCCCTCATGAGGAGTTACATGCTAGCTGGTAGAAAATAATCAAATCAACAGTAAATATACAACATCATGATAAGCGCAACAGAGAAAAACTAAGCAAGAAGGATTCTAGGGAGTGCTGGGTTCGTGGGGGAGGGAGGCTGCTCTTCCACCCTGAGCTGTCACGGGAGGCCTCCCTCCTGGGTGAGGCATGGCTGCGCAGTGGGCTGCACGCAGGAAGTAGCCAGCAGGTCTTCCCGCTTGGGCGGGAGCAGGACCCTCAGAAAAACCCGGGGCAAAGGCCCTACGGTAGGAGGACACCCAGAACAGCTGAGGAAACACGAGGAGCCCAGAGGGGCAGGAGCAGAGCAGCGGAGGGGGAGAGAAGCTAAGAGGAGAAGCTGAGGAAGGTCAGAGGGGAGGGAGGCCCTTGTGGCATAAGGCCCAACCCAGGAGTGTGAGGCCTCTGAGCACAGAAGAGACATCCTCAGACTCAGCAGCCAGAGGAATCCAGTTAAAATTAAATCGGATACTGTCACTTCTCTATGTAAACATTAAAACCTTCCTGAATGAAAAAAAAATAACTAAATAACTGCATCATAAACACCCAGCTCATTTACTGTCTCAAAAAATAATATTTCCTAGTTTACAGAAAAACCTCATGACGGACTGACGTCACTTGAAAAATTTTACTGGGAGATGCTCTGCAACTGTTACACCGTAGTAACACCTCGCTGATTCAGATTAACTGGGCAGAAGACCTCTCAAAATTAAAGGCTGAATTATTCTGTTTTATTTAAATAAATTTCATTAGCTTTTTTGTGCATGAAGGAAGGAATCAGGCTTGCCAAGACTGCCTAATAAAATTTGTTCTGATGAACAGATTTTTAAAGGATTGTAATTAGCATAGGTCAGCACCAGTCTATGCTACCTTGGTTTCTGCTCACAGTGCAATTTCTATGTTTCAATGTAATCAGACAATTATAAATTGTTTCAAAAGCAGTCTATTCTCTTTACTTGACTTGTCCTTTATTTAAGGAGATCCACTGACTAATCTTTTATTTTTTTTTTTAGCAGAAGGAAACCGCATGGCTCCAGAACTAAACTGAAAGGCTGGCTACTTGTCTTTTCGTTGCTGCTGTTGCAACTCTTACCTTCAATCAGGGTTTCTCAACCCTAGCACTACGGCATTTTGGTCCAGATAATTAATTATCGTGAGGGGCTCTCCTGTGCATTGTAGGATGCTTTGCGGCATACCTGGCCTCATCCCAATGGATGCCAGACACCCCAGGTGCGACAATCAAAAATGTCTCCAACATTGTCAGATGTCTCCAGGCAGAAGAGAGAGTGGAGGGAGTAACGTTACCCAAGGCTGAAAACTATTCCCTTAAATCAATGACTCTGTCTTTCTGTATGTGGGGGGGAAATGATCCTGTCTTTTTTCTCGTGTTCATATTATGAATATATTCTTAGAAAATGACCAGAAGATGTATTAATAATTTAATTTTGAAGGGCAGATTTATATAAGGAATGTCAAAAGGAAAGGTCACTGGAATAATCAACACATATGAGAATGACATTTGAAAACCATGTTTTATCAGAGTTCTTCTCTTGGAAAGTTCCTAACAAATAAGCTTAAATGTATATTTGGCACTGCCAGCTTCTAAATGAGAAATTATTTGGGAGATGGGAATTGGCAGAAGAAAAAAATGATCTTCAAAATAGTAACTTCATTATAGCTTCAACAAAAATAAGTCTGAAAGACTTATAGTCTTGGTATTTCTCTTATAGTTATATGAGTGCAAATTAATGTAACCCTATTTAAAATCAACACAGTTGAACTATAATTGCTAAAAATGAAAAGCAGCCCATATTGCACTTCTGTACACCTCCAAATATTTTGTTCCCAAATATAATTTCCTTTTATTCATTGAGAATAAAAATTTAGCTATTTATACATATGTTTTAAAGCACATCCAGAATAAAAATAATCTAAGAAAATTATTTCTGTTTTTGTTCTTAAAACAAAACAAAAACATTTCATTATTTTTCATCATGCTGTCTATGGCCTTCTTGATAATCTCATACTGCTGGGTGGGTTGATCCATTCTCACTATCTACATATAGATGAGTCAAAATATAAATTAAAATACTCTCCAGAGCCCCCACATGCAAGTCGGATGGGATATATACGAATTAAAGTAGTTAAGCCAACAAAAGACACCTGTTTGGCGAAGGCACGAGGGACCAATAAGAAGTGAGCTTTGCTCTAACGGACGGCACACGGGGGAAAGAGCACCCGAGAAATAAATGCTAAACCACAGTCCAGTGATGGAGTTCCGCAGTCATCATCTTGCTTTTCCAAAACATACTTAAGAACCCCACTTAACTGCCCTTAACTTAGCAACATTCCCTCTTGGTCTGGGAGGGAGGACCGTAGTCACTGTCAGCCACTTCCATCCTGAAGAGAAATGCCGAAGTGGTAAGAAACTTACGATTTCTGCCCCAAAGTGAAAGACCAGGGGTTTGGGTAGAGTCATTTGCTATTTCTATTTTTTTTTTCTTTTTCATCTATGGTCCCCCCAAATGGGTATTTTCCAATCCTTAAGAAAATAATTTCATGTTTTCAAGTCAGCTAAATTTCTAATTTCTCCCAATTTTCTTTTCCTCCTTAGTTCCCTATTTTCAATTAAAGGGGTCAACCATCTCTCTAGTCATCCCAACTAGAAACTTCAGAGAAACCTCCCTCTGGCCCATCTGCCACAACTTACAACAGCTGCCCGGGGTCTCCTGATTCCACAGCAGCGTCTCTGGTAGCTTTGCCCTCCCTGCCGCCACTGCTCCCATTGCCACGGTGCAGGAGCTCACCATAGCTCACACCTAGATTAATTCCAAAGGCTTCCAAATGCTCTTTCGACACCAATTTCTCCTGATGCCAAACCCTTACGCTTATTATTACTAAATTTGTCCTTCTCAGACACTGATATAATCACATAAGTCAACTAGATAATTCTTTAATAGTTCTCTATTTTCTATGGATTAAGAATCAAATTCCTTCCCATGGAAAGTCAAGACTCTCCACTATTTTCATTCACAACTACTCTCCAAATTAGGTAAAGGATTATTATGTTCATTTTACATGAGTCTATAGAGGGACATCAAACTAGTAAATGTAGCAGATTCCAAATATGTAGTTCAAATAAACCTAATTAATACAACCAGAGACTACCTAAATTTAATTTATTTATTCTTTAAATTACACTGAGTTTTTGCACTGGTTGACGTGCAGTCAACTTTCAGCACAACAGGAAACATACACTATTGATTCAATTAACATAAGGTCTTTATTAATTTCCACAAACTAAGATTAGTTTGCTTTATAGAGATAGTTTTTATTTTCCATTCCTACTTCAAAGACTGCATCAGAAAACCAACAATAAACATAAAAAAATTTAAAGAATCAAATGTAACCAAGACAAAAACTTATAAACCTATTTTGTTAATAGTTGTAAATATTCTAGATTATTAAATTAACATTTTTATTATGGTACAATATACATAAAATTTTAAATTAATATTTAAAATACATTGAAAATATTTTCTCACCAATATTAGGGTGCTTCAAAAGACGGCAGATCCTAGCTTCCCTTTCCAGTTTCTGATGATCTGTTTAAAAAAACAAAAACTAGAAAAATAAATAACAATAAAGCATAGAAGAATAAAACACAATAAATAGCATATCAAAATGACATAAAGCCTTTACATTTACTTATCCTTTGATTTCTTTTTAAAACAGTGATCATTCGAATTTGGAATCAAGTGAACAGCACACAGTTCAACAATCTAATTTTATTTTTCATCGGCTTGAGGGTTGATGGAGGGAGGCATAAAACAGACCTGAATTTAGACTTGGGCTGGGGGAAACAGAAACGGAACAAAGCAGGACTATGCATTCTTATCTTCACCTTAAGTATACATTGTGACAACAACTTAATAACCCAATAGGGACATATGTATTTAGAGCAGAGGATGCATATCTGGGAATTGGACTACCAATAGAGCCAGTGCTAAACAGGATAACTGCAGTTTATTCCTGAGGGAGAAGTGTTCCCTGTCCAGTCATAGATTCTGTTTACCGCTATGCACACAATTGTTGGTCTAACTTCCTAGGTACATAGTGGTCTTCCTTATATCGAAGATTTCCAAAATCCCTAATTTCTTACTCATCTTTACCTTTCTATGTTTTCCTAGCCATTTCTTTGAAGGGGCACGAACCACTGCAAAGTGGCATTTTAGGAACTATCTTGATACACTTCTTTGGTTTCTTCGTGGTGGTATAGATGCATATAATCAATATCATTGAGCAAAACACTAAATAAGTGTCAGAGAGAGATGAGAACACACATGGTGCTGATAGGGCTGGCAGTATAGAGTAGTCATTAGTTGAGAGCCTTTACACAGAATTTCTAATTTAAACCACAACAACCCTCTGAGATAGGCAATATTGTTATCCCTGTTTTAAAATACAAAGACTAACAGTATAGTTTAATGTTACTGTTTTAATTCATGCAAAGGCTCCTGCAATTTTATCCACATTTCTTTTGCATTTATGATGAAACTCACATCAACACATGTATAAATGTCAACACAATTTTTTTAAAAAGGCAAATTATGTCTTAGTTCTATTTTGCAAATAGTTTTGACCTTGAAGATCCCCTCAGAGAGTTTCAGGGACTCTGGATCTGCAGGCCACACTGTGAGAACCACTGGTATATGCTATAGAGAACTGTTGCATATAACGGACATTTTTGGCAATTTAGGAAAATATTTTAAACATATATAACGTTATTAGTAGCTCAAAGTGTCAAAAACAGTGTCTTGGTGAATTACCACAGCATTGGATAGGCTCTAGAACTGTATCTATTATATCTGGATTGCCAAATATAACGACTGATATCCTCTGCCCTTATCACGATCTAAAACTACACGTACTTAAAATAAATATAAATTTGTCAAGTCTCCTATCTCTTTAACAGTCCTTACTCTTAAAACAAGCAACTTCTAGAATATTCTTATTTAGAAGTGTACAAGTAAACACAAAAAGTTAAACAAGATTTTGAGAATGCATTATCATTATCTTAACACCATTATCTTAAACAAATACTATAAAGTGTTATATGTAAAGCATATGAAAGACATCTGCTTACAGGGATTATAATTTTGTTATAGAGACAGGGATATGCACATATATGTGCTAAACCACGTGATTATATATATATATGTGTAAATCATCTGAAACATATATAATTATATAAGGGAAAAAAGGAAGCAAAGGACATTTACAGACAATAAATTCTACAGAGTTTTAGCTATAGAGAGGAAAATAATTACAGAATTTTATATAGCCTATTGTTATGGGATGAACTGTTTCCTTGCAAAATTCATATGTTGAAGTCCTAACCCCTATACCCCAGAATGTGACAGTATTTGGAAACAGGGTGTTTAAAGAGGTAATTGAGTTAAAATGAGGTCATTAGTGTGGGCTCCAATCTAACGTGACTGGTGTCCATATATGAAAAGGAGACTAGGACACCTATACCCACAGAGGGAGGACCACGTGAAGACACGGGGAGAAGGTGGGCATCTACCAGCCAAGGAGGGAAGCCTCAGAAGAAACCAACCCTTCTGACACCTTTATCTCAGACTTCTAGCTTATGGAACTGTAAGAAAATAGACCTCTATTGTTTAAGCCACCCAGTCTGGGGTACTTTGTTGTGGCCACCCTAGCAAACTAATACACCTATGTATTAGTTTTCTCTTGCTATGTATCAAATATCACAAACTTAGAAGCTCAAAACAACACACATTTATAATCTCACAGTTTCTGTGGGTCAGAAACCTGGGCTTAGCTTAACTGAGCCCTTTGGTTTAGGGTCTCTCACAAGGCTGCAATCAAGGGGTCAGCCATGGCTGGGGTCTCATCCAAAGTCTCAACTGGGGAAGGATCTGCTTCCAAGCTCGCGTACTTGTTGGCCGTGTTCAGTTCCTCAAGGGCTGTCAAGCTGAGGGTGTCAGTCCCCAGCTGGCTGCTGGCTGGAGGCTGCCCTTGGTCCCCTGAATGTGCCCACACAGCAATTTGTTTCATCAAAACCACTAAAGGAAAGAGTCTGGGAAGCAAAAGGGAAAGTCACTATCTTACTCAGCACAGTTGTGCAAGTGACATCCTATCACAGTTGTCATATCCAGTTGGTTAGAAGCAAGACATCAGGCTGACCCAATTTCAATACATGAGGGCATGGACACCATGAGGCAAAGATTGCTGGGACATCTTGGGATGTGTCTGCCACAGCAGACTTTACCACGATAGCGCTAATGAGTTTTCCCTCTGACAAGCAGTTTCACTTGCTTTTCCTCCATATAATCACATCATTTAATGATCTCCTATGAATCATAAGGCATTCTGCACTTTCCCATCAGGGCATGTTTTGACATTCCAAACATGATGATATAACTAAACTCTAGTTTTCATGAAAACTGTTAAATTCTAGTTTTAACAGTAATATAAATGCATACCACCCAGTATGTTTCACATTGAACACCAAGTTCACAACTTTACTTTTAGAAAGAGTAGGTAGGTGAGGAGGAGTGATTAAGTACCTATGACAGTATTACCAAAAAGCACATTTCTGTATTTATCCTGCTAAAGAGATGAATTAGTTTTAAACTTAAAGTTTTCCTTACTTTTAATTCAGTAAGCACAAAAATCATACATCCTGCCTCATCATTCCCAACTCTCGCAACTACAGCGGTAAGAGGCCAAGGCATTATACAAGGAAAGACATCCATCGTACTATTGCGCACCACGTCAAGATTCTCTTTTATTATCCGCAGGCCCTGAAGCTAGTGTAGGACCAGTTTCATTTATCATTTAATATTTATTAAAGTACTTGAAATATAATAGTTTGGCTTTATTCTTCCTTTGAAGCTCAAGTCTGTACTCTTATATGAATAAAAATATAAACTTTCAGGCTGTAATCTCGTCAGGTCTGATAAGGTACATGCTGTTAGCAATGTATGGTTGAAACCTGCCATACAAACAATGCCTTAAGAAAAATATATTATCAATCAATTTTGACATGAAGTCAATGGGGAATAATATTGTTCAGTACAGAGTCATCTAGATTTTAAAACATTTCCTGAGAATTTGGGCGAAATGTAGTTATTTCTTCTCAGCTTGAGAGATTTTTTTTTCATCTATACAACAGTTTATTTCAAATGAGGTCAAAAATGTTAATTGATGGCTAATGAAGTAAATCTTTCACTCTTGTTCCAAATCAAATTTTAATCTTTATGCAAAATAATAACTCTGATCACAAATGCAAATTAAAGTGCTAGCCCTAAACCACTTTCACACAGCAATAGGAGTATCACTAAAGCTACACAAAGCAACAACGTCCTACTTGGCAATATCAGGAAATGGGCTTTTATCAATAAGCAAATTTCAGAAGTAACTATCTACCCCCCAAATGATCAAGCATTAAAATGTTAACCTTGTGGAAGGAAATCCAAGAATTGTTGCTTTCTAACAAGGATGACATATAAAATAATTTAATCTTTCTTGATACCACTGAGTCATCATTATTAGCATTAATTATTACTCTGCTGTAACCCAGAGCCTACAGAGGTGTGAAAACCCACAGGTCCCTGCCCCACCTACCAATCTACCCCCTACCCTTCTGTACGGAATCACCTTCTCAGCATAAGCAATGCCAAGGGAGGGTTTGGGCAAAGAGAGGATGTTGGCCTTCTGCCATTATTGGCCAGTTACCACCCTTCCCCCAAAACACACACACACACACACACACACACACACGCACGCACACACACACACGCATGCGAATGTAAACATACAACCTAAGGAAGGCTTGGGGTTTGCCACAGCCAAGAGGATTTAATTCTTCTACCTCTGCCTCCCCACAAAGAGAATCCCATTCAATTTCAATTATCCTATATTGAAATCATGGAGGAGTTGCCCCTCATGCCCACCAAAATGCAGTGTTTAAAGTCCTGCCCTTTCATTGATTTGTGTCCTGCTAGCCTGTCGGCATGCTGGCTTCAGCCGCCACATTCCCTATTCTTATCTCCCTGGTCCTTTGCCTTCCTTGGCCTTTTATGTTCCAGTTTGAGATCGGTGCCTCAGATCTGTCTATTTTTGAGGGCAGGTTGATCCTGCTTCTCTGGTTTCTTTGTTACAACCAGCCCGACTTGATTTTCGATTTTTTCACACTTGTTCCATTTCCAAGAAACTGTAGTCTCCTGAACCCTCTTGGAGCAAACTTGGGATAAAAGTGAATGAATGATAATTGCCTCTCCCTTATTTCCCAACTGCTGTGAACTAAGAACCACGGAAATCGAGGGTATAAAAACATAATTATGAATAGCCTGGAAGCGAGAACCTGAAGAGACCCTCTCTTAAGGGCAGACACATTTGCTAGAGTGTGGATTCTGGAGCACCCTAACGCGGCTACTCAGACGCCTTATTCCTGGAGGTTTCGGAATTACATTCTGAATGCATTTTTCTTGTTAGAAATACTGTGTCTCACTGAATGAAGTGCTCCTTTAGAAAGAATATAGATCCTGTCCATTTAAGTAGGTCACATTTAAAA